ATGGTAGATTTCACAGTATAATTTTGATATTCAGACAGTCTAGGATGATTGATTTTTATGATCCACTTTTTGAAGTACACATAACTCTCGGATTTAAATCCGAAGTTTCCGCATTTATTTTGTTTAAAATAAATTATTTTCATGCGAACATTCTCAATTTTTGCGAACAAATATTTTGTCTAAATAAGAAAGGATGTTAATTCGAAAATGTCGATATAACCTAAATCAGCTATAACGTACGCGAAGAGAACTTAATGAAGAATTTGAAGCATGCTTTAAGAATTTTATGATGATTGAATATTGCATTATTACGAAAAAAAAAACTTGCTAATTTAAACTACTGATATCAAAGTGATACAATGACAGCGTATGATCGTTAAAAATTCAAGTTATGTCTAACATTGTTACATCGAGACAGAAATAGTTTACTTTATTAGACTCTAGGAAAATAGAAGCGAAATAAGAAGAACAGCAAACAAATATAATTAACAACATATCAAGGAAGAATTCATAAAAAGTTTAAATTGGAAATTAAAAATAACCTATTTGCCTAGTCATATGCTTCACAGATATTGATCCAACGTGGGTAAATTTATAATAGACTGTTGTTTGTTTTCTTTCTATATTTCAACCTAAGATATTTATTGATTATGGTAATTCTCATTGCTATATAACAACATTTAGATGAATCACATGTCGTTCATTGAGTTGTACAATGATCAGTACTGACTTTTGTATGATTATTCTATATTAGATTCAGTCAGCTTTATACACTTTAATGACCGAAACAAATAAGGAAATCTTCATCGCGAATCGATTCAATTGATATCGATTGACTTTCGAATATTGATTTCAAGTTTTGTTTGGTTTCGGCCTCTAGTACACTTGTGTTTTAATCAAACACGAAGTACTAATTGAAAGGAACATGAAATCTTTGCAAAGCGCGATTACATTGTTCTTTGAGAACAAATTTACATAGCAAAATGTGGATATATATAGTTATGCTGGGATGTATAGGTGTAAAGAGAGAATTCATACTCAAAGTCATCAATTGTAATCTTGTGAAGGAAAGAAAAAACAATGAAAAGTTATTTGCATTTTGCTACTTAATCGTATCAGATAGAGCTCTTGTTATACTTGTGTAGAATGTCATCTAAGCATAGATCAATCGTAAAGTCAATCAAAGTTCAAAACTCATCAATATCCATTGCAAGTATTTAACTCTGCTGTTCAGAATCGATTTGACATGGACATGAAGAAAAACAAAACATAGCGAATGAAAAATCATGTCATACTTGTATTGCTACTAGTTAAGAGCAACAGAAGGTGTATAATTTACGTTAAAATATTATTTTGTTGCTGTAAATCCGATTGCATTTGCACATTCGATCAAATCATCATAAAATGTCTTGTTTCGAGTATCGAGATCACACTCAAAATGGCATGCATTCGAACGATTTGAATCTTGCTTCCTTGAACACTTACTCGTGGGAAAGAGCAACAAAGCGTTCTGTGCCATCAGCTATTGGTCCATCGATATTTTCGTTTATCGAACATATTTTTACCTCAAGTTGCGCATAAATAATGCGCACGATTTCGAGCAGTTCTTCTCGTGTTGAAGCGTAATGTAATAAAAAAAAAGAGGCGGTGATTAAATCAAAGGGCTGTTCAGGTGAAATCAATCGCTTAAAATCAGCAACTATGCATTCAACACCTTTCGAATTCAACAATTCGACTTTGCGAGCAAATTTGATCATCGTCAATATTGAGGATATATAATCGCAATTAAGCTCTTTCAATCGACATGTATTTTTACCTTCTACACATGCTTGTCTAGGATCGAGGAAAAATTGTTCTTGCATCACTATTGTCTTAAGTGATGGATGTCAGCTTTCACATCGTTTTGCTGGCATATTCAATCTTTTCTGAAATTCTTGTTTCCATAATATAGTGGTACCAAAAGAGCACTTTCTGTTTGCATTGAGCACGATCTTATATCCATCCACGAAAATGATATCTAGGGTGATAAGTCAGGCATTACAGTAGAACGATACAAAGTCTAGCACCCATCATTTAACACAATAGTGAGGCAAGAACAATTTTTCCTCTGTCCTAGACAAGCAATATTGATCATAACATATTCTAGACTTAAATATATTGAACTCTTTAAAATGAGACGCATTCGCTTATTTCATGAGTTGAAAAAAAGTATCATCGAAAGAAACTCCTATTTAACAAATAAAAAGTACACTGACAAAAATTTGTTTTATAAAATTTTTTATCTTGAACTGTTACTTTGAATGAAACCTTGTACAATAATGGATAATATTTATCTTAATAAAATTTCTAGATAATAAAAATTATGCATGAACATACGAATATTAAAATAGATATCCTTACAATACTGAGAGGCTCATTATTTATGAAACAACCATTATTTTTCACAAAAAAAAGTGAAATCTTTTTGTAACTATTTGCTTAACCTCCGCTATATCGCTTTAGGGAAAGGACGTCTGATAGAGCAAATTTCAAAGATTTATTTGCATAAAAATACTTTTAAACTCGTGTTCAATGCCCACGTACATAGTCAATCAAGATAAGTCAGCGTTTTGGTCTCGTTAATAGAAACATTTCCTCAAACTTTTCGTATTACTTCTTGAAATATTCTCGTATAGTTTTTGAAGTGTACTATCCGTCCATGCCAAACCAAAATTTCTTACCCGTTATACAAAAGATACTTTTGTTAAGTTTTAGTATTTCCAAAAGACAAACTAAGGATAACGAACGATATTAGTCAATAGAAAGAGAACAATTGGGATATTTTTCTGAGAATTTTGTATTGACATCATATCTATTGCATCTTCGATTTCTTTCGTTTGGCAAACTGATGACTGTAGAGAAAAGCATAACCGCAATTAACAATCAAGAATGATATCCTTTTATATTCTTGTGATCAATATCCAGTGTGTATCTGTGTATCGAAATATAAAAAGTTTTGTGCCTGCTTAATTCCTCTAATTTGTTTTATGTAAACCATAATAATTGTAAAAAGGAAAACTAAGATATATAAAATTAAAATCTTCTATACTTCATAAATTATGAAATATTTTGTAAAAATATCGAAGGAAAAGCTTTTTTTGACTGAATCAAGCGATCAAAGTTTAAATAAACGTAAGACAGTTTGGGTCAAATAATAATTACCCAATACGGTCGCTATATCATAAGGTTTTTCTGAATATGGACCTTGTGTTCCATTGACAATGATTGCACGCAGCACATAATCTTTGTTACCTAATATTAAATAAGTTGGACTTGCCAGTGGATCTACTATAGATTTAGCACTTGTCAAAAAATAATCTTTAGTTTCACGTGCTGTGACATATTGAGATAATTCAACTAAATCACTAGCAAAAATAGCTGCAGCTGAAGTATCTCGTGATTGATAGCTGATTGTTGAATTATGTGGAGCATCAAAATCCCAATATGGAACTAAATCTGTACTACTAGGAAGATGAGAAAGAAAATAATTCGACAAACTATCCGATCGAAAATGTTCATACATGGTTCGTTAGCATGTTGTTATGCCATGTTATACCATGTTTGATTACTTGCTTCAAACAATAATTCCAAGTTCATCATATTATCAATAATCACTAGAAAACCTTCTTTACTATCCCAAGATCGTGTACATTGAACCGTTGGTGAATATCGACAAGATAATGACGTAGCAGCAGTAATAATAATCTGTAAATACTCTGATAATTTTAATAAATGACATCCATGACCAAAGCTTGACATAATTACAAAACCAACATCATGTGTATCTGTGATATTAGCAACAGAAGCTAATGGTAATGTCAGATCAATTGCCATTTTAAAGATACTTTGAGTTGCATAGAATTCTTATAAATTCGAAAAAATTCCAGAGAAAAAACCATTTGTAAAACTATGAAGAATAGGTAATGATATCCAATCAGTTTGTAGGAGATATCCAATGAAAGGAAAAGATTGAAATGATAAATCACGATATTGATAGTAGAGAATAGTATATTGAACATTTGCATAACCCATGACATTGAAAGCGGTTACATCAACAAATGTCATCAACAAGGTGATTACAAGTAACAAAGCAGCCATATGAAAGTGATAAGAAGAATAAATGAATATAGGATGATAAGAATATTTAAATTTTATATATCAACATGTTCTTTAGAATTTAGAGAAAAAAAATAAAAAAGAAAGAAAATTCTTTTAATTAGTTACAAATTATCTTTATTTATACAAAAAGAGGCGAAAATTGAACATTAATCACGAATAGTTGTAACAACGAAGTTTCGTGTCTATAATACCAATGACTGACCTATTACATCATTTTTTTTCAAATTTTTATTTGAAAGTTAATGTGCATGCTAGAGTAAACAAATCTAAAAAAAGGACATTACACAATCGATATAAATAAATGTCTTGTTTATATATCAATTTAGAATATAGGAAAACAATAAATTATTTTTACAATGCATATCTACAAAAACTAGATCCAATAGATTCTATCATTTTCAGATTTATGTGCATACAAATACAGTGATGATGACTCTATTTTATTCTATTCAAAAATTCAAGAATAGTAATATTTTACCATGAGACTAATATGAGTCAACCTATATAAAACCAGACTGACAAAGAAAAAAAATGAATTCTGCTGATGCATGAAGCTAAAATAAATGAAGAAGATAAGAAGAAAAAGCAGATATAGAAGATGTGAAATAAGTTATATTAGGGTCTCATAAATTGTCATACCGATGAAAACTGATATTTACAGTACATACACTTGCTGTCTAGATCTACTCTTTGTCACAATTTCAATTTGAGGCTGTGGGATCTGAACGTTTCCACATCACAAGCACTCACACTTCTCACCTCACGCCTAAGGAAAGATCCATGACCACACCCTACTCGCAAAAGATAAAATATAGAACATTTGATCGTACCATCTCAACCCCCTAAACGGCAATTGGAGTTGCCAAATTCCTCTACGCAGATGGAAACGCACTCCGTCGATCTGCTTATACTGTTGACCTACGGAAGAGGCCAATACTCTATTTCAATAGTTATAGCTTATTGGTGACTGTACTGGAAGCGTTATGGGAGGTAAAGATTTAAATCTGAGTGATTTACATAGACAAATTTTTATTATAAAAATTTCAAAATCATGTATTTCTTTAAATCTTTTGTACTTTATATTCGTATTCTTCAATTATCATTCGTTGTCTTTTCTTAACAGCTGCCATCTGTTCACGAACTGTAGGATAATTACTGATGATCTTAATTAATTCATATACAGCTTGCACATCGAAATTTTCTTTGGTTGATTTCAATTTGTTCATATGTTGTTCATATTGACTTTCA